ATATGATTCTTGGAACTTGATTTTTGATTCCAAAGTCATAGTTTGACTCCTTTGGTGTGTAAATGACAATTTTGCCCTTGTGAACGATTCTCTTGGAAAATTTGTAATTTCAGATTTACAATTGGATGGAAGCAAACTTGAGGGTCCAGGTTGATCCTTTGAGAAATGAGAGGGAAAATTTTAGGGTACAACAAAAAGAAAATAACATAAAACACACAAATAAACCGCAAAACAAAATAGTAAATCCCCTGCAAACTTGAACTAAACATTAGCCCCAATGTTTCAGAACAAGATCGAGAAGGGCGACTCACATAAGGTAGTGCAACACAACTGCTTCCTCCTTGCTTTCACAAGTAAGCCCCCTTTTTATTACCTGGAAACAAAAAATATAAAAAGGAAACCTAAGTTATTAAAAGTGGTTTTGAAATCTTCTCACCTCGGTGTTCCTTTTTCTTTCTCTTCTTGACTTCTTGACTGAACTTTTGAATTTTTATTGATGCCACCTGGGAGATTATGTTTGAGACTTCTTCTGGGAGTGGTTTTGAAATCATGCTTTCTCCTTCTAGTTTGATCATACATGAATAAGATTTAATATTTACACATGCATCTTGCTTCTTTATTTCCAACATCTTCAAAGTTATTTCCTCATCAAATGATTTTACCGTCAGATTACCTGTCTCGATATCAAAATTGCATTAACTAGTAAGCAAAAATGGTCGACCAAGAATGATAGGAGTCTCTTTATGTTCAATAATGTCTGTGATCTAGAAATCGACTTGAAAGACAAAATTGTCAATTTCAACCAATACATCTTCAACTATCTCATACGACTACTTGATGGTGTGATCAACAAATTTCTATTTTGTCCTACTCTCACTTATCTTTTCAATACCCAGCTTTTTGAAAATAGATAATGGCATTAAGCTCACACTCGAACCAGAATCAATTAAGACACTCTTGAATTTTCTATATTTTATTGTGCACGATATTGCAACTTATCCAAGATCCTTCTGCTTGATGGGCATTCTCCTCTCAACCGTGATTTCACACAATTTCTCTTCACCAAGTACCAATCCTTCTCCTGTTGGTCTTTTTTTATAGTACCTCCTTCATGAATTTCTGGTACAATGACATTTTCTCGAGTGCTTCAATGAACGGTATGTAGATCGCTAGCTTTTTGAACAATTTGAAAATTTTATCAAAGTATTTCTCTTTTGTGTCCTTCTATGCTACTCTGGATGGATACGACAACTTAATCACTAGTTTAGTCTTCTCTTCAGTTGGCTTCACAAGTGACACCACTTCTTCCTGTTTTTTATTATTCTCTCTCACTTCTAAATCTACTTCTATGATATATCATCAAATTTTACCTCATCTTCTTTTTCTTTAGAAACTTTCTCACTCCTTATTGTGACATAATTAACATTCTCATGAATTTTTTGAGCTCCTTGTGCTTGCAGAGATAATTGTTGTGTAATATGTCCCATTTGAGCTTCCAAATTTTTTATTGCGGTTGTGGTATTCCTCTGATTTCTCCTTTTCTCTTCTTGAAATTGAGAGGTGTGGGAAACCATCTTTTCAATAGCTACTTCCAATTCTTCCTTTTATGGAACTTGTTGCTGAATTTCTTTCCAGGAGAAGTTGGGATGATTCTTCCACCCCAGATTATAGGTGTTAGAATACGGATTATTCAGCTTCAAGAATTTTATCTCATCAATTTGTTATGGAGTTGCAAGACATTGCACAGTAATGTGCGGTCCACTACAAATTTCACAAACAACATTTTATGTCTGTTGAACCTGAGCTACTTGTTGAGCACCTATTTTCATTGCCTTCAACATTTTCTCTACTTCTCCAGCAATTGTTTAATCAGTTCTGAGTTGTTTGTTGGCTTCCAACTTCAAATCAATCACTCCCTTTGGTTTTCTTATAACCCTGTCATACAATTCCAAGTGTTCATTTGAAGCAATGGCTTCAATGATCTTCTTAATACCAGTGGTTGTTGTAAAGTTGGATGAGCCACCGACAGCTGTGTCAATAAGCTGCTTTATCTTCATTCTGAGGGCATTTAAAAACAACTACATTTTCTAAGTTTGATCCATATTGTGAGTGGGACAAGAAACCAATAACCTCTTGAACCTCTTATACGCATCACCCAATGACTCTCCTTCTTTCTGCTTAAAATTCACAATATCATATCTTTTGCGAATATAAACAGAAGCAGAAAAGTATTCATCAAGAAAATCCTTGTCCATCTCTTCCCAAGTCGTAATACTCTCAGTAGGTAATGAGTAGATTATGCCAGACTGTCAAAATAAACTACTCAAGGAGTACTTCTTAGGAAACAATGAAAACAAGGCGATCGTGAGGATCCAACCCAATAACCCAACACACTAAGAAATCAAAATCCGAGCAATGTACTATCATCTTTTTATGAGACTAACTTCTACAAATTATACTATCCATAATATTTTTTTCCTATTTGTTTATTATTAACTATACCCCCAAATCTCACATCATTTCTATATTTCCAAAGCTCATAAATAGTATCGGTAAAAGCTATTTTGAGTAAATTTTCTCTATGACCCTTTCCTTTAGCTTGCAACATCATCCAACTAAGCTCTTCAATCCACTTCTTCGGTTGATGGTTAATCCCTTTCCACTTTAAAATTTGACTCCAAACTTCCTTCATTTTAGTGCAATCAAGCAGGAGGTGGTCAATTGTTTCAAGTTGATCACAAATGTTACATTTTCTATCACTAAGTAACCCAAACTTCCTCAACCTAACCTTAGTGGCAAGTCTACCATGACATCTAGTCCATAACACAAACTGCCCACGGGGTCTGGCCAAGTTGGAGAACAAAAGTTTCCTCCAAGGGACTTTGTTGGAAACCTCTTAAACCCTAAGTCCTTAGAGAATTATGATGAAATCAAGCAAGGGTGGGATCAAGAATTAAATGGTAACTATAGGGTGTCCCTAGTCCTAGGAGATATCTATTATAATATAATCGTACAAAAACCTTAACAACCGCGGTCCAGCTGATTGTTAATCGTAAATCAATATGTGTTGGTCTGAGAGGGAAAGCATTAAAAATATTGAACGATTAAATTGAATATGAAAAACTATTGCATTAAAGAAATTAGAACTCTAAGTTGTTTACAAAATCAAATCAGGGACACTCCCCTAACATTGGGGGATTTAGCTACTCATATTGTTCAAAGTAATTTCAGAATAAAAATTAGACATCACTGGTGAACGTTGATCTTCAATTGTTTCCACTAATGAAAAGTCTTTGTTCTCCAATAATTGCATACTCTTCGATCTTCAATTGTAGAAATTCTGCACTGACAAAAAGTCCCCTAATTCCTTGTGAAAACTCATATAAATAGTTACCATTCACTGAGATCGGTTGGAAGTACCCAAAACTCCCACATCGCTTAACATATGGACAAAATAGGAAAAAGTCAGGAAATCAGCGTCACAGGCCAACATGGCACGTGTTAGGTAATACAACCAATCATGTTGGCCCTCAAAATTACAATTTTTCTTTTAAAGTCCCGGGAGGTGCAACACGGCCCGTGTGAGGTGACACGGCCACCCGTGTTGGCCCTCTGCCTTTCCATGTTCTCCAAGCTTTCTCCCTAACACGGACACCCGTGCCAAGCCTTCTATAGCAAGAAATTTTCACTTCCGCCGAAACTCTAAATTAATTTTACACTTTTTCGCCCTGATTTATCTCGATTTATTCCTCTGAGCCTATAAATAGTAAAACACACAACCAACACATAAAATGTAGAAGAGTGAAATGAAATTCTTGACAATATAAAGAAAAGATGACTAAAATCAACAGTAAATAAATATATAAAAATCACTAATCACTTATCATTGCTGAGGGACCAATATGAATAGTTATATCTGATTAGCACATCTACGACAACCTCCTTGGGTACGGTCCTCACGATCACGACCCGGATCGACCGCATGACCTTCTTCTATCGGACAATGGCGGTCGTTGCCTTTCAGCTTCGCCACTAACCTAGGATGATCGACGAGCATCCTCTCTGCCTGCCCAGCTCTAACGTCGTGCAGACCACCAGGAACCGATCAGAGAGATGCCCGTAATTAGTCCCTTCTTCAGAACCAACGACCAGTTACAGACACATCTTCCTTGTTTAAGCCATAAATTCTAGATATAATTTTAAAATTTTACCATGTGCGAGAATACGCTAATGATGCAATAAGCAATCTTCTCTCGATATATGATTATTTAAGTTATATAAGAGAAGATCAATATCCTAAAGTTCCTAGCCTCGATGTCAAAATCTTAACCATTAGGTTGTACCTTCATAGCAAAGATTCATTCTAAAAATAAGAGTGAAGAAGTATGACAAGAAGCATCTCAAAGACAATAAACTTTTACATTTGGTTTAATCAATTTTTGTATATATATATATATATATATATATATATATATATATATATATATATATATATATATATATATATATATATATATATATATATATATATATATATATATATATATATATATATATATATATATATATATATATATATATATATATATTTTTTTTTTTTTTTATTTTTTATTTTTTTATTAAAGCTTAAAATTTAGGAAATTAGATTTTATTGGGACAGCCAGATTTGATCTTACTACTAGATTGTATGCCGTTTATCACAAATCCAACACTATATATTATAAGATTCATGCATGCAATCAATAAGAAATAGTTAGAAGATCGAGAGTAATCAAGAAGAATAAAGGAAATAAACAGAAAAAAATATTTATTGAAATCCAACAACATGCAACTATTAATTAAGTTCGACGACATGAATAGTTCATCAAGCTTAATTGAGCAAATAGTTGTTCAGTAGCATATATGAATACCACTGTCATAAACTTTATTAAAGCATGTGATCAAGATTGCTATCATCTCAATCATCATAGCAACAAAAATACAAGTATTAAAAAACAACATCATGGAAAATATCGAGATGGCCCAGCTTCAAAAGGATTTGCATATAGTGGCTTGTGTATATATTTTCGAGCCCATACATGCTTTCCGTTAATGGCGAATTTCATCCTTGTCTGATACTCCAGAAAATGATCAATTACGTTGATAGCATCTGGACGAACAACCAGACGAGCATACAGTGGTTGCTCTCCTGGATTTGCTTCTTGCATTATCAGCCTCTCAATGATGTCTCCACATTTTCTTTGCGGAACAAAATTTGCACAATATCAAAAGAGTTAGCTTATTGAGAATTCATATAATATTTTATAATAGGGTCTATAAAAAAAAAAAATCTAAAGAAAGACTTTTGTTAGTTTTAATAAATTTTAATAATATATTAGATCTCTTTGAATAAAATAAAATAAGATTATGGTTGATATATGCAATAAAAAGGTAGGTACCTGGTGAAAAATTCTGTAAGTTCATTCTGAGAAATGGGATAACCCTTGGAAAAGGTGATGAAGAGGGTTCTATCATCGATTGGATTGATCTGATTATCAGGAGGAGAAACAATACCAGTATCAGGAGAATAAATATCATCCAGGTTCAAATTGGATAAAATCTCGTTTATATCCTGTCCATTGTTGTTAAACTGTGGCGGCGGCGCGAGATTAACTTGTTGTGCAACCACTGGAACAGCATTAGGAGGAGCATAGTACATGATTTGTGGTGATTGAATTTGATGAGGGGGACTAGTATCAGTAGCAGTAGCAGCAGCAGCATAAACGTTAGCAAGATATAGTTCTTGCTCCTTCACAGCTCTCTCATAATATGCTTGTTCAATAATATCTGAAAAAGCTCTTACGCACACATCATTGATGAACTTTGTGACTTCAGTAATCACATTCAGACGTTTCTCATGAAAATACTTTAGCGTCACATCGTGACGCAAGATGTGTTGAATCAATAACAGCTTACTCTCGCTTGAAGAAGCGTTAGGCCGATACTCTGAACTCTCAATGCAACTCAGAACGACAACAATCTCATCAGCGAGATTGCGAACCATTAGGTCTGGCCACCGTTGAAGAATCTTTGCGACTAAATTGTAGTCTTTGCTTTTTCTCTCCACCCACATTATGAACGCCATTACATTGATCGATTCTGAAGTTTCTCGACCAAGCTCCATCACCAAACGACTGAATAGCTGTCGATCAACACTGTGAAACAAGTTGAACTCTTCTTTCGTCACAACTACATTGAAACCAGGGTCTGGATTTGGTAGAGATGTCGGTAAAATGAAATTCATTTTGCAAACCAGATGCTGCTCATTATCATCATTATTTCCTCTCATTTATAAGCTTCTCAAATTTTTTAAATAATAATAATTTCTTTGACTCTTTTTTAAATAATATTAAACAATGACAATTTTTATTTCTAATTTTTTTAAACTTAATTTATTGGGGATACTTTTTTTTTTACTTTCAATAATGATAGTATTTATAAAATATCCTCAAAGTTAAATAATACTTTTTTTTTTTAAACTTAAGTAGGTTGCAGCAACAAAGCTACAGTATAAAATAATTCTAAAATATATTATTAAATTTTATTTTTGGTAATTTATGCATTATAAGATATATATATATATATCAAATTTATTTTCTTTTTTCTTTCATTTTTTTTTATTTTTTTTGTTATTTCTTTTAGAAAATTAACATTTGTGTAATTCTTTTAAATTTTATTTTATTTTATTTCTAGATTCAGAGTAATGTTTTTTTATAAGTTAAAAAATTGGTAAAGAAAAAGCAAAAATAAAGAGATATACCTAACCCCAAAAAACAAATTAAACAATAAAAAATAAAACATAAAGAATTTATTATATCACATAGTTTTTTCTATGATTTTTTAAGGAAAAACAAAAAGGAAGGGTGACATTAAACCTAACATATCAAATAGCGTGTAAAAATGATAGTTATCATGTTCAATCTATCTCTAAAAAAAAATTCAAAAACACTAATAAAGAAGTAAATTTCAGCAACTGTCATAACAACAAAAAGATTTACTTTGGTTAATCTATTTGAAATTATATTTTCTTCTTTAAAATGTGAAATATCTTAAATATAAAGGAATATATGTTTAAAGTATTATTTCATTTAATTAAAAGATATTAATGAATAATATTTATTTAGAAAATATCTAAATGACTGCCACTGAGTTAGTTTCAAGTTAAAGATTTCTCAGATTTCTCATGTTAACATGTTCGATAGCAGTCATGTTTTCATGCAATTCAATTTAAAAGGAGATGCAAACTCCAATTTTTAGATGAGAAATCTTCCAAGAATGTTCCTAAAACATCTCTATCTATAGCACCACCGGTTGATATTTCAAGATTTTCTCTTAAAACTATGTTTGTATTGCACTTAATCCAATTATGACTAGTACAATACCAATTAACTTGTAAGATTATAGGTGTAGGAGGAGGTCCAAATTTAATGAAGAATTTGATAATTGTAAAGTCGTGAATTGAAGAATGCATGTGCCCCTTGAAACAAGTAGATGTCATGTAGACTATTTATGTCATGTTTTTCAAAAAATTATTATGATAAGAGTCATGATCAGATTATTAATTTGAGAGTTTCAACTTCAACCAGTAAAATTTAATAAGCTTTCATAACTAGTTATGTCAACGTTCATGCCAAACAATCTCTCGATCCAATTCCAGAAGAAGAAAAAAAAGGTGAAGCCACATTTAAAAAATAAGTGGTCTGGAGTAGCCAAGTCATATTGCAAAGAGAGAATCTTGAAACTAAACGAATTCCATTTTGAATTAGGTTGTGCCTTATGTTACAATAACATTATGCATTAGCTTTCAAGTCAATAATGACTTAGCATGAGGTGTGAATATATGCCAAGTGAATTTTTCCAAGAAGGCTCAATGTGATTCCTCCTCGTACAGTTATAGACATCTTTAAAAGATAGATCACCATTTTCAAATAAATCATGTTTAAATGAGCTCGTCAACGGTATTATTAATCAAATGACAAGTTAATTTTTAAAATTTCTTCAACAAGTTGAGGAGGCAAATTGGATAAACCATGAGAAATATTCCAATTGATGTCTTAGATTGTTGAATTCACCATAGAAATTTACATAAATTGAATATTCAGTGGGAATACTATGTGTAAATCTTTAATTTTGTATTCCAACAATTGTCTATCCATAAATGTGGTAATCGCCTTTTAAATGTTTATGATACGTGTCCACACAAAATTTCTTATGCAAGAATCAAACTTGTTACAAAAATTGAATGGCCATTAATAAAAACCTGATATTATACAAAAAAAAAGTCTTGCATCATCGACTGAACCAGTTGAACCCTACCTATCATAAAAAGAATGTGACTCTTTCAAATAGTTATCTTAGCCAAATTTTCTATATGCTATAATCTGAAGATATCGAATTTTAGGATTGTCTTTGAATATTATAACTATAAGATAGTTAAATGACATTTGATCTCACAATAAATTCAATCATATTACACAATGTACCTTAGCCTAGATCCATAACTAGCTTCATCATAAAACTTCCACTTAGTTAGTTATATTCACGTGTTAACCTGAATTCTGACTACATTCTTGAAGAAGAAGAAGATTAATCATTTGAGAATTTTTTTTAATAGTCAATCAAGATAAATGGAGAAGTCGTAGAATTTTTTACTTGCTTTAGAGGAGTGGGCAAATAGACTCACTTCCTCCTTTAATCTTATTAGTTGACAAGACAAGCATTCTTAACCACACTTTTTTTCACATGGTTATTTAATTCAATTCCATATTTTTTCTTCTCATGCCATAGTCTATATATTTTTTACTAGAATATCACAATTTGACCATATTGTGAAAAAATATTGTTTTACTATCTCCATTCTTAAATCATTTATTCTTCATCTTGTTTCCGCAAAACTAATCATGTATATGCAATTGATTTAATTCTTCATCTTGTTTCCGCAAAACTAATCATGTATATGCAATACCTAATCTAAAAGAAGTTGAACATTTTTCTCCAATCTAAAATTATCTTTGTAACCTGCATAACTAATAAAATCTTGTATTATGTTAACATTTCATGAGTAGCTGAAGTGACTTTAATATTTGATATTGCCTTGACCTTAATTCTCATTTTCCTCATCTTTCTCTCTCAAATACTATTTTTTTAATCATTCAAACGAGTATTATATAATTAAAAAAATCACATTGATATACTTTTTATTTGTCTAAAAGATAAATTCTAGAATAAGACACGTTGTTTTCCGAAAGATAAGCATGCAAAATATTTATTAGTTATCGTAATTTATTTCTTGTAATATATATCTTATTTTTAGTGTCTCTAATATTTTTTTCTCTCTCAAATTAACAATATCTTCATTTCGTAAACAACACTGAGATGTATAATATCATTAGTAACAATAACTAGAGTATACACAAGGTAATCCTTTAAATTTTTTTCTCGTTCAAATTAACTATTTTATATATAGAGAGAGTGCGATAAATACAGAGAATGCAATATAGAGAACATTTAATTTTTTAAATGAAAAATTAACTTTTAAAATTGAATATATATTCATGAAAGTATTCAATAAAAAAGTATTTGTTGAGATGGTGTAGATAGAAAGCTATTTTTAGTGGAAACTAATGCAATTTAATCTTTTTTAGTGTTTAAAAAATGCAAAATATTATTACAAATTTATATAAATTTCAAAAAGTTGCTTTCCATATACACCATCTCAAGAAATAATTTTTTTTTAGTACTTTCATGTATATATATTCAACTTTAAAAGTTAATTTTCATTTTAAAAATACCATAACATTCATTGAATCCTTTAGTTTTTTTTATAACATAGTTGATATTTTTCTTAATAATTAAATTTTATTGCATAAGAAAGAAAAACCAGAAAAAAATGAGGATAGAAAACCTTTCCAAAAACATTAAAAGAACAAGAATACATAGAAAGTGAATTCTTCTAAGAGTCATAATCTACAAAAATATCCGTATTGACTAATTTATTTGTACATATATTTTTTATAAAAAAAAATATAAGTTATCTTGAATTTAAAAAATTACGTTGTGTATTAAATATTTTTTTATTTAATTAAAAAATGATAACGGATAATATTCATATAGTTGATAGTTATAGAATGAGAATAATATTTTAAGGTTTTTTATTCTTTGAGGGATAAATACAGACAATAAGTTGAAGGTATTCTATTTTTTTGGTTTGACAAAAATTAGAAAATGTTTATAAAAAGCAGTTTTGCTTCTAATAGATATACAGCTTTTGTTTTTTCTTCTGTAAAAATATTTATAAAGCCAACCTTTTTTCTTGAAGGTTCAAGTCCCACTGTAATCAAAATATTGATTTTTTTAATGTTTTAATATATCAAAATTTTAAATAATAATAAATAAAATGATAATAGAATTTTTAAATGATATGATTGATTTCACAAATTGTTAAAAAGAAAAAAATTAACAAAAATCGCCTATATGACTTAGTTACTGACCCAAATTTATATAAAATAAAATTCACCAAATAGTTTTTCATATACAACCTTCTCATCAAATTTTTTTAATTGAATATATATATTCAACTATGGAAGTAATTTTTTAAATTTAGTTATATATTATAACATTCATTGAATAATTAATTTTTTATTATTTCTTAGTTGAATACTCAAGGGGAAATAAAAATATTTAAAAAATGTTTAAAAATACATACAAATGCATCTTATCATATTTTATGTTTAATTAATCAGGTTTTGATCATTTTTTGACTTTTGAGTTATAAACTTTTTTTTTTAATCTGTAAACATTTGCAATGTCGATTTAAAACATAAACTAAAATTTTATGAAGGTAAAAGAATAAATGATCAATTTGATAGCTTAAAATATCAATTTAAAACTTGATCTAACCTGATCAGACTTGGACCGTCACGGCTGACTCCGAGTTGAAGTTTTGAACGAGGTGAGGGGGTACCTGCAAGACACTCCGATGCTGAAGTAAGTAAGAGTACGAGCAGGCAAAGTGTGAGTATATGTGATAGAATGAATACCTGACCCTCTGGAAACAGAGGGTATTTATAGCCCCCAGCGCTGGGCCAAGGTTCCTTCATTGGGCCGGGCAGGTTTGGCCCAATGGAGGAACTGCCAGGTTCTACGTGCGTAGTGGGGACCCGCACGTGGTCCCCTTCCTGGATGTCCTACGTGAAGTGCGGGCGGACAAGGACGCGGTCTTTTCGGGGTCCCGTTGAGAGTGTA